CATCACAAGTTGTATTTTCTGTTAATAATTTTAGCTCTAAATATTTATTATTAATACTCTGAATATTAGCATGCACAATCGTTAACCAGTTAATGGAGTCTTGGTTGTGTCCAAAAAATTAAGTGAACAATTTAAATTAGAATTTAATTTGATAAAGTGCAAACAAGACGAAGCATTAAAGTGACTATCTTTGATACTTTTAACAGTTTCTTCAATCACTATATTTTTTACATTTACCTTGACTTTTACATTTATTTCAAGATATCTGACATTCTCAGATACCGCAGCTAGATTAAAGAGTTCTTTATTAATAGTAAAGATTTTATCATCATTTATGTTGTCGTATATTATACTTCCTAACAAAATGTTGAATTTTCTATTTTCTTTGCTCACAATTCTTCGAATTTCATCCACATATGATGTCCCCATTTTAATGTCGTAGTTTCCTATTAGTATTACCGCTAAGTCATTTTCTTTCAAATCTTTGGTATATAAATCAAAGTGCTTCAATATTTGTTTATGATTTCCCCCTGTTTGACAGTAATTTGTTATTTTTGTATTTTCCAATTGTTGCATTAATTTGATTGCTAGTCCACTCCCTATTCTGTCCGAAAACATTTCTATTCTTGTCAGTGTTTTTGTGTTCTCTTTTCTTTTTCCGCTTTGTGCCCTGTCTCTTTCTGACATTTCTATCTTATTTCCTTTTCCTTGCAGCTTTGAAGAGTAGTTTTCCTGCTTATGTATTATTTCTTGTTTTTTCTGGATCTTCGTTGATATTTTTAGTTTAGTAAGTGTTCCCAATTCTAATAATTTATGTTGTATTCTATTCTTCTCTATCTTTAAGTTTTTCTGTTCTTTCTGTAATTTTCGAACCCTCTTATTTTGTATTTTAATTTTTTTTAAGAAGGTTTTTAGTTGCATATTTAATTTTAGGTTTTAATAGCAATTTAATTCTTTTATTCCTTTTTATTTTAATATTTTGTGAGCTCGGATTATCATCGGTTTGAAACATAACATAAACACTCACGCCTTTCACCCAGAGGGGTAGGCAGAGATTACGGACTTCCATTTGGCACGATCCTGACATACCTCTTTCGCCTCCTTTACATCCATATATCTACGCATACATGCTCGTCGGTTAAGGGTACTTCTAACGTGGCCCATTTTCAAAATATCGCCAATTTGGTCGACAAACTTTTTTCTAGGGCGTCCCTTCCCGACTCGGCCGTTCACATCTGCCATATAAAGAATCATGTCCAATTTTGACCTGAAAATTTTCTAACGCGTATAGTGATGTAAAATATCTTATAAAATTGGCTTTATTTTGCCTATTTCGTATCGCATAATAGAATTTTTCAATAAAGCCAGGAAAAAAAGTAATATAAATATGTTTATCATTCTCAATAGACTTTTGGAGAAGGAACGCGTTTAACAATGACTTAAAAGCCCAGAAGCCATGACAATATATATTAAAAAAAAGTGTTTTACACATTTCGTTTCACAGACTACGAAAATATTATTAATTTGTCATGTGGTTTATATGAATGTTCATAATAATCAATTGTTTTTTTGTTACTTATCTTATTATTTTATGATCAGATATGCTTTTTTGTGGTTTTATACTATGGCGTGGAAGTTATTTTTCTTTCCACGCCATAGTATACCATAGTGTACAGTTGACAGGTTATAATCTGTAAAACTTATTTACTTTAAAGCATTTTTCCCTGGCCTCTAAATAATAAGTTGATAAGTTATTATGTTATTATAAACAATTATCGATTTTATGCAACAGTAGTTGTAGGTAGACGCGACCTGTAAAAAGAATCAAATGACAGGTCAATCAATGTATGGAAAGTGGGCATACTTCTTTGCTTTGTCACTCTTTCATCATTCATTCTTTCTACGTGACCAAACCACCGAAGCATTCCTTTCTTAATCCTGGTCACAACATCATCTTGCATATCACATTTATCTCTTATCACGCAATTTCTCACCCTGTCATTCAGATTAAACCCTAGCATATTTCTTAAAGAACGCATTTCTACAGCATTTATTCTACTTTCGTGCTTCTTCTGCCACACCCAGCTTTCACTACCATACATTAACGTAGGGACTAACACAGCATTATGAATTACCATACGTGCCTGTTTTGACACATTCTGGTTCTTCATAATAGAGTGTAGTGCCCCATTCACTCTATTCCCTGCATTTACTCGTCGTTCTATATCCCTATCATATCTACCATCCCTGCTAAATACACATCCCAAATACACAAACTCATCCACTTGCTCAATTAACTCTCCTTCTATTCTTATTTCACATACCGTTTTGCTTTCTTCTCTTTCAAAAACCATCACTTTCGTCTTACTTGCGTTCACTTTCATTCCCCTTTCTTTTAATTCCCAGTTCATTAATGTAACCATCATTTGCAACTCAGCCGCTGATGACGCAAATATGACTTGATCATCGGCATACAAAAAGGCATTTGACGGTTAACTCGCCCATTCTTAAACCACATTCTTCATCTTTCAAAGTTTGCAAACACCGGTCCATAAATAGGTTGAACAGCCAAGGGGAAGCTACACAGCCCTGTCTGACACCTTTTTGGATGCCAAACCAGTCCGAGTAGACCCCATTGATCCTGACACAAGCACTAGAGTCCCTATAAAGAGACCCTAATGCCTGTATCAAACCAGCGCTCAACCCATATGAGTTCAGTGTTTGCCATAACACATTCCTGTCCACTCTGTCATAAGCCTTTTCCAAGTCCATGAACGCACAAAAAACGTTCTGGTTTTTGGCCAAAAACTTCTCCGCGATTCATGCGCATGGAAAAGACTTGATCTGTGCACCCCATTCCCTTTCTAAAACCCGCTTGCACATCCCAAATTTTTCCATCAGTTTCTTTCATAACTCTTTCAATTAACACCTTAGCATACAGTTTACCCACAATACTAAGCAAGCTGATACCGCGGTAGTTTTTGCAGTCCTGCTGTGACCCTTTTCCTTTATATATTGGTACTATAACTGCTTTACACCAGTCATCCGGTACCCGTTTTAATTCCCAACATAAATTAAACAAGGTGTACAGCAGGCCTGCCACCACTCCCTCTCCAGCCCTTAGCATCTCGAGTGATACTCTATCATATCCAGCTGCCTTACCTGCTTTCATGCTTTTCATTGCTTTCATTATTTCATCTACACTTATCTCCATACCCCTTTCCACTTCTTTCGGAATTTCTAGTTCATTTAATTCATACGACTCTTCACTCATAAACACGCTTTCAAAGTATTCCTTCCATCTGTTTAAATTCGAAACTTCATCATTCAGAATACATCCATTCTCGTCTCTTATAGCATTTATTATAGGCTGTTTTGTATTTCCCCTGGCAGTTCTTACGAGTTTCCAGAGCATTTTTATGTTAGCCTGGAAATTATCAGATATCCTTCTATCATTCTTATCCATTCTTTCTTTCTTTTTCCTTTCCTAACAACTTCTTTTACTCTCTTATTTAGACGTCTAAATTCTGCCTTTTTTCTTTCAATCTCATCATTCATACCAGAAGAATTACCAGCTTTGGTTGCTAGTAAATCTAACCATGCTTTCTTCTTTGATTCAACTTCAACCCGTACCTCATCATCCCACCACAACGTATTACTTTTCCTTTCATTTGTTCTTTTACTTACACCACATACTTCGGTGGCGGTATCCACCAAACCTTTCTTAATATTATCCCACACAGTCTTCAAGTCTAAATCATTCATACACAACTCATTCAAAACATCTAATATTTTCTCTCAGTCTACATTTATACTTCTCTTTCACATCTTCATCTTGTAACTTCTCTATTCTTATACGCTGTAACGCAGTGGTAGACACAGATGTCCGATGCCGCCAACGCTTGAAAAGACCATTAATTCGACATAAGACCAAGTAATGATCCGTCCCTACGTTGGACCCCCGGTAAACCCTTGTATCTACGACTGCGCTCCTCATTCTTTCATCCACAATTACGAAATCTATCATGCTTCTATCATCACCTCTTTCCCATGTATACATGTGAATCTTCTTATGACGAAAAAAAGTATTCGTCACAAAAAGATTCTTTTCCGCACATACGGTGAGGAGGTCTTCACCATTCTCATTTATACTTTCATCACCAAACGTTCCCAATATCCTTTCATAACCAGACCTCTTCACCCCAACCCTTCCATTAAAGTGTCCTAACATAATAATATTTTCATTTTCCTTACATTTTGTCAACACCATCCTTACCATGTCCCAAAACTGCTCTCGAATGTAAGCGGGCTTAGACATGTCTGGGGCGTACACCCCTATCAGGAACAGCTTCTTTAAGCCCACTTTCATTCGTATCCATAGCAGTCTCGGGCTTACACATTCATACTCTTTCACACATTGACCCATTCTTTCTGAAAGGATGAAACCGACTCCCTGGCACGCCCGTTCGGTCTCGCCTACACCAGACCAATACGCGGTATACGTGCCATGTGCAGTGGCATCCTTTTCCCTTTCGTTTCGTCTCATTCACACATAACACATCTATTCCTCTGTCATTCATCATTTCGCATACTTCATCCATCTTATCATTCATTCCTCCACATACATTCAGCGTAGCCAGACGGGTTTCCGCAATCCACTTTTCGCCCCTCCGGGAGACAGAACGTGACGGGTGGCGAACCTCGTCGCCGGTTTTTCTCCCGGAGATTCTTCGCACCCCTGCCCCATTTAAGGGGCGCCGGGAACTCGGGGCCATTTCTTTTATTTCCTGAGTCATTCGAACAAGGGGTAGTGGTAGATTTTACGCCGCTACCATAAGGCGAGGAGCCGAGTCTATTTTTTCGGCTTTGTCGCTCGTTTAGCACCACCCGGGGGACACGTGTAGAGTGGGCCTAAGGTCAGGTGATCGGAGCCTACGGACGCGAGCGACTCATCCCTCATAGGTTTGAGTTACTGCGTTTTTTGGAATTTTATTGAAAAGTTATGTTTTGTTTAAACTGCTAGCTGGCTTGGGTGACATACCGCGTATTTTTTCAGGTCCTAAAGTTTGTATAGCTCTTAGTGATTTAATCACCATCTGGCAGTTTTCTAGTTCCCTTTGCAAGTCATTGTTCTGCAATATCAAATTATCTACTTCTGTATTAGCAGCTTGAAGAGTTTGTTTTAGTTGTTCAATTTGCATTTCTAATTCAATCATCCTTGAGCTATTGTGTATAGATACGTCTGGAAGGCTCCTTAAACTATCACCGTACATAATAACGGAATCATTGGTTACTGAGCCCTCCAAGCATGCTACATCATTTTCGGAATTATAACGCCGCATGCGTCTGAATGTTATGTTGCTATAGCTTGTATTCATCTTAAATTTGCTTACTTTCCTACAAACTATTTATATTCCTATAATAAGGATTTGGTGCTACTGCTTTTCTGTTTCTTTAGGTTTATTCTTTGTAAGTTGTTAAAGGCTGTCTTAAAGAAACATACAAAAAGAAGTCGAATTATATCGTGGATTTGATCCCACGTCTTTTTGGTTGTAACGCGTCGCACTCCCCACTAGGCTAGCTGGCTTGTTTGATGAATGGTGAATTTAAGTGTTATATTCCGGACTAAATTCATTTGAGATACTAGAGACACTCGTTATTTGTTTTGTTTTGCGAGAAGTTATTAACATTCACCTTCATTTGCAAAAGAAAACAAAATCACTTTTCGTTCAGTTTTTGATTAAAATCTAGTATTGAAACAAAGTTTTTAGCCACTGCCACACCACTAAAGAGTCTCACCACTATTTATGCACGTAAATAATGACATTTTGAGATATTTAGTGCACTTTTTACACTGTTTTTATTTAATTTTTTGAGGACGACATAACAGATCGACCTTTCGCTTCGGGTCCTACCCGATAATCTCCTAACGCTGACAAGTTACGTTAGGGTAATATCAATCCCCAGAAGACACAAGTTGGCGCGTTTACCGCTAAAAAGAACCCCTTTGTCGTGTCTTCTCAGTTTGAATGCATTCCCCTTGGTGCCTCAGTTAGCATCGGAATCCTCGGCGTCGACATATCCAATAGTGTGCAGTTTCGAGGTCACTTAGAGGAGATGGCTAAATTGGCCTCTAAAAGGCTTAGCATGCTAAGCAGAGTGAGACAGTATTTCATGCTGACACATCGCTTGCAACTTTACAAAGCGAAAGTTCAGCCGAACATGGAATACTGTTCTCATCTCAGGGCCGGGGCACCCCAGTGCCAGTGCCTTCCACATCGATTCGAGTTTTTTCTGATTGGCTCGATTCACTGACGCTGCGTAGAGATGTTGCATCGCTTTGCGTTTTTTATCGATTCTACCACGGAGAGTGTTCTGAGGAATTGTTCGGATTAGTTCCAGCCGCCAAGTTTCACGAACGCACATCGTGTGAAAATTTACGATACCTCACCATCTGGATGCTTGGCGATCCACCACTGTTCGTTTTACTAGGAGTTTTCTTCCTCGCACAAATTTTCTGTGGAATTGTACCATGGCGATAGATAGACTTAGGGACCTTGAAAGTTAATTGCTCTGCTGTTACGATTTTTCAGGGGTGGTGGTAGTCACTTACCATCAGGTGAGCCGCACGATCGTGTGCCCTCTTCCATAAAAAATCTTATTATGTGTTAATATTCATGATTTCAGTTATTGCCTATCCCATGTGAGCGATAACGCATATTTATCCCATTTGTATCATTGTAGGCTGTAAAATATTTAATTTAAATTATTTTATCTTATTATGTGCTAATTTTCATTATTTCAGTTATTATCTATCCTATGTGAGCAATAATAAGGAGTTTATCCTACTTCTGATGCTAGATTAATTAAAACGAAGAGCTGAATTTGAAACCTTTAATCCCACTTCTGGTTTTAGATTTATTAAAATTTGGTCACTAGAAAAATATTTTAAATATAATTTATAATTAAATGTAAGTTTACAGGAAAAGGCTTTAAAATAGCATAAATTTATTTTTTTACAATATAGTACATCTACCAATGGTTCGGAGAAAATTTTTGTCCTGGGAAGAACCAGCAAGAAACCCAGCGGGATATTTCTTTTAAATAAAGTTAATTTTCAATGTACTATTTTATTACACTTACTTAATATACGTATAATAAAACAGCATTAACAATTAAACGATATAGGATAATAACAAAATAATTAAGTATTATTATATATTAAGCTTAAGTATTCCGGTCCAATAAAATAGGTTACATAGGCTGCACTAAAAGTATCGGGAATGGAAGAAAACGTTGATGCTGTGCGTAAGAGGAAGATCGACATGTGACATACCGAGAAGTTCAGGCAAATTTAGACATTGGCATGAGACAAATACAAATAATCTTGAATGGACAATTAGGTGTAAAAAAGTTGTTTTCCCGATGGATACCGCATTCGCTCTGTGAAGAGCAAAAAAGCGGCTCGCGTTACTTGGTGCGTCAGAACTCTCGAAAGATTCGAAGCAGGATCCTAAAATGCTGCATACAACATTGTGTCAGGTGACGAATCCTGGATATATACGTACGAACCCGAAACAAAAAACCAGTCACGAGTTTGGGTGTTCGAAAATGAGTTAAAGCCAACAAAAATTGTTCGTTCACGGAGTGTTGCAAAAAAAATGGTGGCCACTTTTACCTCCAAAACCCATGTTACGACTATTCCTCTTAAGGGACAAAGAACGGTTAATGTAGAATGGTATGCTAGCATTTGTTTGCCACAGGGCGTTCTGAACTCCGTACAGAGAACTGCCACCACCGCATCATCCTCCATCACGACAATGCGAGTTCTCACACCGCACACAGAACAAAAGAGGTTTTAGAGCAAAAAAAAACATAGAATTATTAGACCATCCGTCGTACAGTACCTGACCTAAGCCCTAATGATTTCTATACTTTCCCTAAAATAAAGAATAAATTGCGTGGACAGAGATTTTAATCACCTGAAGAAGCTGTGGACGCCTACAAAACGGCCATTTTGGAGACCCCAACATCCGAATGGAATGGTTGCTTCAATGATTGGTTCCACTGTATGGAAATATGTGTCAAATTTCGCGGAGAATACTTCGAAAAGCAATAAATGCATTTTCAAATAGTAATGTTGTGTCACTTCCTTGATTCCCGAAATTTTCAGTATTCAGTTTAAGAACCTTTTGGCTCCACAGAGCAGACTAGCAGAGTCTGATCTATTTGTCATAGTTGACCTTTACACACAATTCACAACATCATTGTTATGTTCGCCGGAAGCTGAAAAGACGGTGACAGTTGTTACAAATCAGTAAAACAGAACCGGAAGTAGTTAACATAATACAAACTTAATTTAAATTGTTAGTTTTAACAATCTTGTTTTGTGGGTAGTAATAAAATACATCAACTATCTTACAAACTAGTTATTAAGTTACCTACCCACCTTATTGTCTATAATAATCTAACAAGTTTAAATAGATGGAGTGAAACCTTATGAAACTTAAGGAGTTGGGTGGAGAAGGCCTGGGACCATACTTTACGGAGTTTTGGGGGCATGTTCAGCAGTTAACTTGTGATGGGCTTTAATTATGACGTTGACTGTACTGTAATGAAAGATTCAGTGCTTTAAAAGTAATATGTGTGTAGATATTATATAAAACTCTATCTTCTTTATGTTTACACCTTACAAAGTTACAAATTATTTTTTATTTTACAGCAGTTTTCTCTTTAACAGTTTAGAAAAGAGACGGAAGCAACTTTTATAACATACCTAGCAATAAAAGTTGTTTGAAATGATGCGGCTTTTAACCACATCGGAACAATTTTCTGCGAGCATACACAGTGAGCGATTCTGTGGAGTATCACCCCAAAAAATATATACAAGTAGTTTTATAAGATATAAAGTTTTTGTAATTTTGTCAAAGATATTTAAGATTAAGATTTTATAATTGTGCTTAATTCTACGTTCTGATTATCATCATTAAAGCCTATTACGACTCCTCTGGACGTAGGTCTCTCAATCAGATTGCCACTAAGCACGATTCTGTACCAGCGACTCTGCCTTAGGTCAACGGGTGTCACGAAGAACTATATTTTGTTTAGTGTGAGGCTTCCACTCTGGAATCTTTTCTCCAAATTTATTTTGGAAGATTATCTTAATGAAAAAAAAACATAATAATTTCTTTAAAATGGCATATTTAAGATATGTTACTTGAGACTATCATGCATACTTAATAATATTATAAATGCGAAATTGTTTGTTGTTTGTTCTTCTTTCACGTCGCAACAGAGCATCGGCATGGCATGATTTTTTGTATGGGGATAGTTCGGTGGCTGTAGAATGACATAGATTACTTTTTTCTGCGGAAAAATATCTCATTCCCGTGAGAAAATCTAATATGTTGCACAAGTTTGTCCTTCTTTCACGTCGAAACAGAGCGTCGGCAAGGCATGATTTTTTTGTAAAAAATCGTGTGAGAAAATCGAATATGTTTCAATGTAAGTTCAGCTAGGTGGCGCCACCGTGATTTTACAAGTGAACGACGGTACGATGGACGAACACAGAAGGTCAGAATATCTGTATTATTATGTTTTTTTACCATTTTAAAATGAAGATAAAAATGTATAGATCTGTATTTTTCCACGCAGGACGGGGAAAAGAACAATAAAACATAAAATTCTCCAGCTGATTTTCTTCAAACGTTTTGGTGCATTGTAATTCACAGAATAGGCGATAATCTGGCAGACGATATTAAGTAATCCGTTGATGCTCTGCCCACCTCGCAAGGGTTACAGGCGTGATTATGAGTATGAATCAGAAATACTATCACCATCTGTCACGCTTTCGCACTTAAATATTACTTAACTGCGGTAGAAACAGTTCTTAGTAAGCTGCTTAGTAATATTTATTGAACGGAAATAAATACAGTTCTTATATGTGGTTATGAATGAATGTATTACAGAAAATAAATTATAAGAAAAATATTTTTTGAGAGTTCTTATTAACTAACGTATACATAGTTTAAATTTATTCCGCTAGATGTCGCTACTAGGGTTTTAAAACGCGGTAACGTAATGTTTCCTGACATGTACTTAACTCCCGCAGTTAAGCCGCGCGTCAACTTATAGTGCAAACGGTACCTATATGCTTAAATTGTTTCTATTTCGTAGCTTATCCGACTACCTGCTTTCGATTTCGGTTGTTTCTTATTTGCTTTGTGATTTGGTTGATGTTGAATGGATTTATATTGGCTTTCATTTTCGGATTTGTGTATTTTCTTGGACCGGTTTTGTTAATTTGGTTGGTATTCCTTTATATATATTTAGACTCTGGCTT